CTTTTTTTTTTTTTTTTGATGCTTCATTATTAAAGTATAGGAATGCTATGAATTTTTGAATGTTGATTTTGTATCCTGAAACTACTGTATTTGTTTATTGTTTCTAGTAGTGTTCTTGTGGAGTGTTTAGGGTTTTCTATATAGAGAATAATGTCATCTGCAAATAGTGACAATTTGACTCCCTTATTTCTTATTTGGATGCTTTTTATATCTTTCTCTTGCCTGATTGCACTTGCTAGGACCTTCAATGTTATATTGAATAACAGTGGCAATAATGGACAGCCTTTCCTTGTTCCTGATCTTAGAGGGAAGGTTTTTAGTTTTTCACCATTAAGTATAATCTTGGCTGACGGTTTGTCATATATATCCTTTATTATGGTAAGATACTTTCCTTCTCTACCGATTTTGTTGTGTTTTGATTATAAATGGATGCTGTATTTTGACGAAGGCTTTTTCTGCATCTGTTGATATGATCATATGATTTTTATTTTTTAATTTGTTTATGTGGTGTATCACATTAATCTATTTGCATATGTTGAACCATCCCTGTGCCCCTGGGATGAAGCCTACTTCATTGTGGTGTGTAATCTTTTTAATATGTTGCTGCATTCAGTTTGCTAGTATCTTAATTAGGATTTTTGCATCTGTGTTCATGGGAGATATTGATCTATAGTTTGTGTGTGTGTGTGTGTGTGTGTGTGTGTGTGTTAGCTTTACCAGATTTTAGTACTAGGATAATATTGGCTTCATAAAATAAATTAGGAAGTATTGCCTCCTCTTCGATTATTTGGAAGAGTTTGAGGAGAATAGGTATTAAATCCTCTTTGAATGTTTGGTAGAATTCATTGACGATGCCATTGGGTCCTGGACTTTTCCTTTTTGGTAGGTTTTTGATAATTGTTTCAATTTCCATACTGCTGATTGGTCTATCTAGATTTTCTAGTTCTTCTTGATTCAGTCTAGGATGATTGTATTTTTCTAAGTACTGGTCCATTTCTTCTAGGTTAATTAATTTGGTGTTATATACTTTCTCATAGTATTCTTGTATTATCCTTTGTATTTCTGCAGTGTCTGTCGTAATTTCTCCTCTTTCATCTCTGATTTTGTTTATTTGTGTCCTTTCTCTTTTTTCTTTAGTGAGTCTAGCCAGAGGTTTGTCAATTTTATTAACCTTCTTAAAGAACCAGCTCTTTGTTGCATTTATTTTTTTATTGTATTTTGTTGTTGTTGTTGTTGTCGTTTTCAATTTCATTTAATTCTGCTCTTGTTTTGATTATTTCTTTCTTTCTGCTGATTTTAGGCTTCATTTGTTCTTTCTTGTCTAGTTTTTTGAGATGAAGCATTAGGTTGTTTATTTGGGCTCATTCTTGTTTTTGAAGATAGGCCTGTAATGATATGAACTTTCCTCTTATGACCACTTTTGCCGTCCCAAAAGTTTTGATACGTTGTACTGTCATTATTATTCATTTCTATGTATCTCTTGATCTCTCTTTTTATTTCTTCTCTGACTCAGTTATTCTTCAGTAGCATGTTGTTTAATCTCCATGTATTTGTGGTTCTTTCCACTTTCTTTTTACAGTTAATGTCTAGCTTCAAAGTATTATGATTAGAGAATATGGTTGGTATGATTTCAACCCTCTTATATTTGTTGAGGCTATCTCTGTGTCCCAGTATGTGGTCAATCCTTGGGAATGTTCCATGTGCGCTAGAGAAGAATGTATAAGCAGCTGTTTTTTATGTCCAGCTGTGAGTGTTAATTATGTCCAGCTGATCTAATGTGTCATTTATGGATGTTATTTCCATATTGATTTTCTGTCTGGATGATCTGTCCATATCTGACAGTGAGGTATTTAGGTCCACTAGTATGATAGTGCTTTGGTCTAGTGTTTCTCCCTTTAGGGATAGTGTTTCTCCCTGTAGTTCTGTTAGTAATTGCTTTATATATTTCAGGGCTCCCTGATTGGGAGCATAGATATTAATAAGTGTTGTGTCTTCTTGGTGTATGATTCCCTTTATCATTATGAAGTGTTCCTCAGTATCTTTGTTTACCCTTTTTATTTCGAAGTCTATATTGTCCAATATCAGTACTGCTACTCTCGCTTTTCTCTGAATGCCATTTGCTTGATATATCATTTTGAACTCTTTCATTTTGTGTTTATATTTGTCTTTGGAAGAGAGAGGTGTCTCATGGAGACAGCATATGTTTGGTTTTGTTTTTTGATCCAAACTGCAACTCTGTGCCTTTTTATTGGTGAGTTCAGTCTATTTATATTTAGGGTGATTATTGAAATATGAGGTTTTCCTATAGTCATTTCATTTTTAGTTTTCTTGTAGCTCAGCATTTGCTTCCTTGTCCTTTTTTTTTCCAGTTGGGTTTTGTTAGTTTCCCCTCTGATCCTTCTTGTTTTATGTTATATACTTTAGTTCTGAATCTTTGGCATGTGGTTATCATTATAAATATATAGAGGATAGTTATATATACATAGTAATCCATTTTCTTTGGTGTGTGCCTTATATCCATTCCCCTTCGTGAATTTAGATATTTGAATCCTCCCCTTTTCTGTTATTGTTGACTCAATTTGTCCCTCTCTTCTTACTGTTTATGCTTATAATGCCCTGTTCTTAATAAGGGTTTCACTCCTCTGCTTCTATCTGCCTGCTAGTTGCTTTACTCATAGTTTTGTATTTTTTGTCATTTGTTTTAGGTGAGCTGACCCCTTTCAGTATTTCCTATATTGCAGGCCTCATAGTGGAGAATTTCCTCAATTTTTGTATGTCTGGAAAGGTCTTTATTTCTCCTTCATATCTAGAGAGCTTTGCTGTATACATTATACTTGGCTGGTAGTTCCTTTCATTTAATAGTTTGAATATTTGATTTCACTCCTTTCTAAGGCATGTAAGGTTTGTTCTGAGAAGTCTGACAATAATCTAATGGGGTTTCCTTTATAGGTTACCATCTACTTTTGCCTGGCTGAAAATTCTTTGTCATTAACTTTTTATATTTTTAAGGTCTTGGGAGGAGACATCTTAGGGTTGAAGTAATTGGGTGTTCTGTTGACTTCTTGAATTTCAAGCTCCAGCTCATTCCTTAGATTTGGTGAATGCTCACTAATTATTTTTTTGAAAATATTTTCTAATTCCTGCTCCTTTTCTTTACCTTCGATAATGCTCATTATTCTTATGTTTCCTCTCCTAATGATATTAGCTAGTTCTTCTATTTCTCTTTCATTATTTTTCAATTTTTGGTTTCTCCTTTCTTCCTTCTGATTTATTATAGATTTCTTTCTTTGATATCACTGATCCTTTCCTCCATTTGTTCAACTCTATTTCCCAAACTTCCTATTTCATTTTTCATCTCTTTTAGTGTGTTCTTCACCTCTAGAAGTTCTATTTGGTTCTTCTTAAGAGTTTCAATCTCCCTGCTAAAGAACTCATTCTACTCATCTAGTTTTTTTTTCAATTCCTGGAATTATTGATATGAATTATTTTGGATCTCATTGAGTTTTTTTCAGAAGTGCCATCCTGAATTCTCTGTCATTTAAGTCACATATTTCTATGTCTTTAAGCTTATTTTCCAGATAGAGGATTTATTATATAAAGATTTCTCTTTAGCCTGTTGCAAAAAAGGTGTTTTTCTTTTGATTTCCAGTAGTTGGCGTCTAAGCCTCTTGGATCCCTGCTTTATATAAAGCCTTAATAATGCCTTTTGTTTTTCCTTGTAGATGTTTAATCACACTCGCTACCCTCAGTCTCGGTCCCTGTCAGTGTTAGTGACAGTTTTGGTAGCTTTTGCTCAGATTCCCTTGGGGCTCCATGGTGTTTAGTCTTGGAGGATATGAGGGGAGATGCTCTCTGAGTGGGGGATGGGGCTGTGGCTCAGCCACACATTTTGCAACTGCCGCTGGTAATAATCAACTGTTGCTTCTCTGCCATCCACACTCTCTGCCTTGTGCCCTGATCCCTGGGCACTGTCACTGTGTGGTGCTCACAGCTCTCCCATGCAGGGCTGTTCAGGGAACTTGCCAGAACTTCTCACCTACTCCTCCTCCTACAGGGAGCTCCAGCTGCAAGAGGCAGCTTCTTTGTTTCTCCCAGTCTACTACCATACTCCCTTGTCTCTGACCTGTGGTAGCTCTTATTAGCAGTTCTCTCTTTCAGACGTGCTTGTGTGAAGGTTGGGTGGTTATTTTATTTTATTTTTTTTTTGAGTTTTAGATGTTCAGCTTATTGTTGTTTCAAGGGGAGAGATCTGGAGACATCTCTCATCCATCATGTTTCTGATGTCACCTGTTTTGCTCTTTTTAAGTAACACTATGTCATAAGTATTTTCAGTATTATTAAGTTTTGAAAAAAAATTTTAAGGTGGGGGAATGAAAACAATAAAAAAGACACTCTGGGAAGATACAGATATAAGACATTAGGTAACATTCCCTAGGTGATGAACTGGGGGAATTGGGTGGATGGAGACAAGGGCAAGATGTAGACTTTCTAACTGAATTCTTTTCTATATTTCTCTATGTGTACACATACACTTGGGCATGAGCACAATTTTTCATTTATAGACATATATAACACTGTTAAAACTCTAGAAGAAAGAAGCTCAAAGATACAGAGAGCATTTTGATGGTTGTCAGAGGGTGGGTAGGGGAGTAGAGGAAGGGGGCAGTTAAAAGGTTTAAATGGTAGTTACAAAATAGTCATGGGGATGTAGAATATAGCATGAGGAATATAGTCATTAATATTGTAATAACAATGTATGGTGTCAGATGAGTACTGGATTTATTAGGATGATCATTTCATAAGCTATATAAATGTCTAATCACTGTGTTGTACACCTGAAATTAATATAATATTGTATGTCAACTATAATAGAAAAAATAAAAATTACAAAACCTTTAAAGAAAATTATTTGAACTATTTAAAATTTGAAAATTATATTAAGTAGGGAGACCTTTATTTACATTTATTTATATAAATTTCAATTAAAGAAGTGAGTTCTGTTTAATTTTTTCCTCATGCATCAATTTGTGTATTTAAATAACCATGTGTATGAATAATTGCCTGATCTGGTTTGGTTATTAGTTGAAATAATTACAATATTTTACTGCTTATAGGTTTACTTTTATTTTTTCTATTGTTGATAATATACAATTATTTTTTGATATTAAATACTTAGTGATTTTTTTCCCCACTTAAGAATGATTTCACGATTTCTCTCTTCTATATTAGAAACCTCATCAAAATGTAGGGCTTTTTTTTTAATTTTTAATTTTTTTTTTTTTATGAGTATGTTTTGTTCTTTTCCAGGAAAAAGAAAATACCCTAAAGCATATTTCCTATCTTCCTTGGTAACTTTAAGCCACTGTGTAAATTTAATTAGGAAATGGTGAGAACATTTTGGGCCAGACCATGATGTATTATGGCTGACAATATGTGCATATAACAAATGCCCACTGAGAATTTTCACATAATATTATTGTAAATGTCTATATATTACATGGATTTCTTTTGCCTCCAGACCTATGGTCAATAGGGTGTGAGAATAAAAATTTTTGTCATCTTTAGCCTGGGTATGTTAACATGCGTAGAGAGCAAACTTCTCGGTCTCAGAAACACAATGTTTCCATGAGTTGATAAAAGGGACTGCCTGGACTTTGTAGCCTGGCTCTGGTTTTCTGTAGGTGCCACCTTCTCCACCCTCTCATTCCATTAGTGCTAGAGGCCTGCTTTGGCCTCCTGCATGCTGGGGGGAAAGGACAAAGACCTTAACTTACCCCACAACATCCACAACACTGGCAGTCTCCACAGAGGGTCCCTAGGAGGCCATTGACCACCTGGAAAGCGCAGAGAAGCATCTGGATCCCTCCTGTGACCAGCAGGATGGAGAAAAGTGTCAGATTCCAGGGAATCACATTTTCAGGCTCTCGGCACTTGCTCCATAAAGCTTCATCAATGAGGTAATCCCTGTGGGGAGCATGGGAGAGGAAAGGAGACATCTATAAAAAGAATGAAATACCCTAGACTGGAAATTCATCATCATAATTTTTTTTGGAATACTTCCAATCTAAAACATAAGTTCCATAAGAAACATATTCCACAACAACAGCACTTTTAAAAACAATACCTAAAATTTTTATTGAGTATATATTATGTTACAACCTTTCTAAACATTTTAAACTTATTCACTTATTTGTTTCTCATATAAAACTGATGATTCTTTTCTTCTATTTCACAAATAAAGACATTGAAGCACAGAGAGGTTAAGTGACTTCTTCCTAGGTCACACAGCTACCAAGGGACAGAATGATTTTTGTGAGCTGACCAAGAGAATGGGTAAATTCAATCAATATTTATTATAAGGCCTGGAAAATGAAGACACTTCAGGAGTAGAATCTCACACATGTTCATGACTTTTATCCCACCTACTGTCATTAGAGATCATTTGAACTTTTGACAAATTATCTATCAAGTCTACTGGCCATCTGAAGCCATGTAAAGTACAACAGTGTCATATAGTATAGGGAAAGAGCTCGATCTTTTTAAAGGCCTAATTCTAGCCTTAAAAATTGCAAATTAAAAAAAGTATTGTGAATTTAACTATATTTTTGTTAACATATTCCACATGCAAAAAGATTTAATTAATTAAAAGCAATAATAACCTGTTGCCTTAATATATATTTTACAAAGACTTTAAAATGGAGAAACTGCTTAATATGTTTATAAAATAAGTATATTAGGAGTCCACTGCAATATACAGGGCAGTTTATATTGGAGAAATGTGAAGTTACGCTGTCTGTGATGGAGAAATGTGTAGTTATGCTATCTTCAAGACCAAAATAACAGTAAAGTGGGTCAATCTTATGGATTATTATCATTCCTTCTCACATTCTTAGAGTTATAAATTGGTATTCCCCTCTTCCTTTGTGCACCCTCTATTCTCCCAAGGCCTCAGTGGGAAATTCTTCATCTGACTATTAAATTAAGTTGCCTTACGGTTTTTAGATCTTTTTGATAACTCTTGTTTCTGATGAATTCTCCAGTGGACCAGTACACACTTATATAAGGACATTCTGTATTAAAATCTAAAAAGTCTTTGCAATGATGGAAGATGCCTTGGCATTTAATAAAGCAGAAGGAATGAAAGTACAAGCATTTCGTTCTCGATTTAAATATAGAACGTTTATAGCATCGATCCACCTTTCCATAAGGCACAGGTTCTAGCTGCTCACTAGCTGTGTGACTTATCTGTAAAACGGGACTAACATTGTCTGTCAAACCACAGTTATTGTGAAGATTAAATGAGTTAATACTAGTAAAGTGCTTAGGACAGTGCCTAGTGTGTAGTAAGTGCTCAATAAGCACTAGTACTGTTATTGTTACTTTACTTAATCTGAACTGTCTGATTAAAGGAAAGGGCCTGGTATTTTGGATTCCAATGAACTTGGGTTTGAACGCAAGCATTCCTCTTTCTAGCTGTGTATTCTTCATACAAGTTACTTATCCTCACCCCACATCTCCACCGGAGCATCAGTTTCTTCATCTATTAGACAGGCTGAGAGCAACCTCACAATTGCGACAGTTCTCTGAGAGAATATACCTTTTGTATTGTTCTACAAGAGTTCTTTTTGGTATTTATTATTTTTAAAGTCTTGTTCTGTTCTGCATTTTTCCATGTAGTTTTATCTATCTTCACAATTTTTAAACGTGATGATGACAAGAGGTTATGGAGAGACAGTAGTTTTCAGTCACCTTTTGTAAAGAAAAGACCCCAAGATGAAGTGACTGGCAATCCTGAGTTCTTTCCCTCTCCTGAAGAGTTTGTACAGTGGCAAGATGACAGCCCCTCCTGGTGGTGAGATTAGTAAAATGCTCATGGGGGAACTTGGAAGCAAGGATTGAGTTTGGGTGCCTAGAGCAATCCTCTCAGCCCCACTCCTGCTGCTGCCTCACCCTTCACAAACCACCAGGATATCCCATTCCCGGCCCTTCTTCTCTCCCCGCCAAACTCTCAGGTTTTGAGACTCAGAGATTGCGGCATTGATCGCTGCGTCCAACTCTCCAACTTCCGGGGAGAGGGGGCCCTGAGTTATCATGGGCCTGGTAGCTAAGCACGTTTCCACATTCTGTGAAGCAAGAGGAGCTGAGGCAGTGTACATAACTGCAGTTTACTCCACCGCAGTTTTAAAGCACGCCAGTCTCGCGAAGGACACTTCCACGTGAGCTGCAGTAATCCCAGCATCATCGGAACAGAATGCCATGGATTCCATGCAACTCACTTCTTGCCAGCATCTAAGGCAGCTGAAGGAAGGAATAGGGGGGCCCGAATGCTTGCCTGGCCCACTCTGCCTGGTAATTCAGGTGCCACCTCTTCCTCCGAGACAGAGTCCTGATGCTCCTCCTGCCCTTGGCTGGCTTTGGTATCCCTTCTGTGCTTCCCAGCACTCTGTGTCGTTCATTGATTGTCCATCTGTCTTCAGTGTGGGACTGCACACTCACCAGAGCAGAGACCATGTCCCCTACCTCTGCCCCCATTTCCAGCACAGGGAGTGTGTTCAGTAAATAACAGCAGCTTTTGTGTATTGTGATCTGCTCATGTGCCAGGCACTGGGCTAGCTGCTTTATGTCACCTTCCCCAGTCCTCCCAGGAGGTGGTGCTTTCCTTGGCCAATGCCTGGCATGGAGTAGCCTTCAGGAAACTGTCTTTGAATAAATGAACATACGGCCGTATGCAGATTAGAAATTGAATCTAGAAATGGAAGTGCCTGGATATGATCCTGGGTCTGTCTGACTCCAAAGCCATCCTCTTAACAATTACACAAATCCCTCTATAGTATATTCGAAATATGATTTATTGATGAAACATATAAATGCCTCTATAATAGTGTGTCAATCAAGGTTTACTTATAAATGTGATAAAGAGATTATTCTCTTTGTATCCACATTAATGCTTGAAAAGATTGAAATTGTCATAAAATAATTATAAAAGCATATTTTAGAAAGTTCTAATACTTAGTAATTAATTCCATTTATAACATTGTTATTAAAAAAATAATAAAGCTGAAAGCTTAGCAAGCAGTATCTGGCAGTAACTGTGCTGAGTGCTTTATGTACTTCATGATATTTCATTCTCGCCTGAATTTGTGAAGTACATCTGGATGTCACCACATTTCACAGAGAAAGAGCTGAGAGATGAATCCATTGTACATTATTCACCATTGTTATGTGGCAGGTGTATGACTACCTTAAGTCCTGTAAAGACAAGGACAAAGCCAGTTCTTAACATTTGTGGTAGTTTCTTGTTTTGTGACAGCTGCGAACACGTTGTATGATCCTTTGTCCCACTACTGATGGATGTGCTTTCAGCTCTAGGGAGTGTGTTCAGAAGAAGCTTGGGGTTTCTTGCTGTTAAGTAATCTTTGAAGTGCAAATGCAGATAATGTTAACTGAAAGTCCAGAGAGATCATTAATTGAATTCAGTTCTGTGTCTTGATGGGAGAGTACTCTCTTCACCACTTTCCCAGGGAGCAAGCAGGGTTGCAGCCTGACGAGGGAGTACTGTGCTTGGCTATGTCCTTTGTTCTTCCCGCACTGCTGAATGTCCTTGGCCTTTCCTCTGGTTCCCTATCCCCTTCCCCACAGCTGTCTCCATGCCCTGTGCCAGCTGCTTCCCTTTCGTCAGCTCAGGGTCAAGGCAGAGGTGGCCAATTGTCTTAGAGAGGAAGACCTTGAGTGGGAGGAGATCCTACTTCAAATTAAGCCAAGAAGATATATCTCAAAATGTCCCAGGTTCCTTTTCCTTCTGGGATGCTTCTTTAGTATAGTTCTCATGACCAAAAGAGTTAATTATCTTTGCTCCTTTAATATGATCACCAACAAACATTTTTGAGGAAAACAGTGTTAAATACTACATCATTGAAGAGCCCTGGATTTTGTGCCCCAAGCTGGAAATCTCAGAATCCACCTTGATCACTTTCCCCCTTTTCTCTCACAGCTAATCCTGATGATTCCATCTCAGATAGTCTCTGAAATTTGTTTCCTTCTTTTGAGCCCAGTTGTATTGCCTTGTGGATGCTCATGATCTCATCTGGATTGTGACTCCAACCTCCTATTTCTATGTTCTCTCTCAAGTTACTGAGCCCTTCTGTTCATCTTCCATGTTGCCACCAACGTAATGTTTCGGAAACTTCCAGGAGTTCACATTGTGTTCTGCCTGAAGCCTCTGCTGTCTCCTGGTGTTCTGAGGGTCTGGCCTGCCCCTCAGTCATCTGCCTCACATGGTGCCCCCTTCTTTGCCTCTCCCCCACATTCACCCTGAGCTTCCGGCTGCACAGTAAACTGACATTCTCTGACCATGTTGGGCCTTTTCTTAGTTGCCTCAGGGCTTACTCTTCTCTCTACCTGAAATGTGTTTCCCTTCATCTTTGCTCATCTTCCAAAACCAGCCCATATCATCCCCTTAATGAAATTTCCCTTGCATTTCTCCATTTCATCCCTTTCTGCATCGTGAGGGTCTGGCTTGTGTTGTCACCCTAACTAAACATGTGCTCACAAGGACAGGGACCATGTATGTCCTCCTTTGCTCCATGTTTGGGAGAAGTTTCTACACAAAGTAGGGTACTGTCAAGTGTTTTTATTTTGTTTGTTTTTTAATACTCCTTCTATTACTTACTAGCTGGGGAACCCTCAGCAAATTAACCTTTTGACCTTCATTTTTCTAGTTTGGGGATAGGAATTCTCAAATTTATTAGGAAGATTAAGTAAGATTAATATATGCAAAATACATAGCCCTTGATCATTAACAGGAAAAGGTGGAGGAGGGAGAAGCAGCTGCCTCTCCTGCCATTTAGTGACAAGGGGAGAGGGGCAAACTGTCTTGAGCACTTCTGTTTGGGCTCATACAAGTGATTTATCTTTTCTACCTCCTAAGTAGCTGTGTACGTGTGTTAGGTTTGCAGTGACAGTGA